CTATGGATCACCAAGAACGTCTTGTCTTTGTACTCTTCCTGTGCTTCTGGTCCAACCTCACTCAATTTTCAGCAATCCTGTGAAAGTTATCGAGAAAATACCTTTCTGTATGTGTGTAGGATGTGGGTGTTTTGGATTGTATGAAGTTGATGTTTTTCCTAGTTATATAATTCAAGAATCAATGGATAAATCAAAGGCTTGGATTTGTTCTTCAATATAGAATGATGATATGGAGAAAGCATATAATGAACAACCACAGTAAATTCGTGTTAGAGCAAGGGTATCTATAGTAGAAGGCATTTAGATGGCTTGGCCCATTAAAACTCTTGAAAAACGCGAACTAGGGTTTTACACCTAACACTATCGCTTGAGAACCAGGCGAGTGACCAATGTGTCGCTAGAACGATAACTCATCGATAGGCGGACGACAAGTTCATTGTTTTTTCCGCTCGAGCATCAGATGGACGATAGGCTAGTGTAAATCCAGCTGCTCTTTCCTCCTTATTTCAAACTCAAACTCAAACCCTAAGATGCCTATTTTATCTATATAATATTCCAACTAACTCTTTGACTTAGATTAGTCATTTTGTGTAAAGAATTGCCAATATAACTTAAATTCCTACAATTTCCCCCTTTGACATTCTGTGACAAAATTATAAAATACAAGTCAAGAAAGTAAAATCAAACTAATCTATCCAAATCAAACTGAACGTCCTTTTCTTGCATTCCTTGTTAAACCTATTTCCTGAAATCAACAATTTAAAGATGTCATCTCTTAAGGCAGATAGTCCATTATCATGACATTATTGTCTACAGCATTACATCTGTTGAAAATCTCGTCGATCCATTTACCAAGTTCTTACACTAGCCAAGATTTGCAAGGATCACGTGGAGGACATGAGAATGCATGACATGTCACATACACTTCGGTGCACACAGAAAATTGTTCGGATATGTGCTTAAAGGTATTAGAAGTTTCCTGTAATAAGGTAAACATTTTAATTGTTATTGAATAAATAACTGTGTTTTATTTATTTCTATAAAAGAGAGTTACATTATTTTAAACATGCGTATCCTTCGATTAATGAGTGAAAAAAAAAACAAAAAAATAGTGTGGCTAGTATAGAAGATATTATTTTGTATGTTGATCAAATTATTAATTATTCATGACTATAGAATAAGAAGTTGGCACTTATTTTGTTAAGACTATAGTAATTGTTACTATACCAATTAGGGTATGCGATTTTCCTAGACTACGGTGAGAAAATTTTGAGAGTGGTCACACTAGTACACATGATAAATTTGGAAGTGTATTGGACTGGATCATTTGTTTGTACGAGTTTCAATTCTAATACATGATTATGCTAGAGAGAATTAAACTCCATGTTAACATTTTATGAATAACCTTAGTCCATGATGGATTAGTAGTTGTTATTCGCGAACTCTAGGGTATTTACTTTGTCAATTAATGAGATTTAATTATTAGGTCAAATATCCACGTACGTTGAAAACCGAAACGAAAGTAAGTGAAGAAGTATATAATTATTTACATTTGGAATCCTCTGTTGGTTTAAAGTACATATGAATTCGCTTATGTATTTTCTTCTAATCAATTTTAGTTTAAATTCAGTATTTGATAATGAATGCAATTCGACCACAAAGAAACCCCTGAAAGAAAATGTTAGCTTTAGTAAAAAAATAATTAGTAGGAATAAATCAATCAATTTAGCTCGGCAGCCCGGCATTTATTATTCAGTGTCCGACATGAGTAATGAATTAAGAAAGTGATTCAAGTCTTTCATATATCAAGAGGTTGGTCTTGGATCTTTAGTGAAATAACGTAGATTAACAAGTTAACTAGGTAGACCCTATAATATGTGTTCGATTATTATAGCTTGATTTATATAGATCCGATTGGATCCCTTTAATAGCTACGAAAAAGGTTCGAGGACTTCAATTTTACAAGTATCAATATTTGACCTAAGTCAACTAGTTGACCAAATGGTCCAACCAAAGTTTAATTTAATAAAAGCCAAAAATCAAAAGGACCAAAATTGTTGATTAAAAGTTGGATATAAATTCATCAGCCCAGTGAAATTAATCACTGGTCAAATATTCGACTATATATATACAATTGTTATTAATTGTATTGATATATTAATATGATATGGGAATATAACTTTTGATATAATGTTACGTGACATTTTATCATTTGATAATTTTAAATAGAGTCAGCTTTTCAATAAAAACATATATATAATAAGCTCATTTGAAATGACACATTCTCCAATTAAAATAAGTTTACACTTAATTCAAAATTCTTCTCTACTTTTTAATCATATATTCTCTAAAAAAAACTATTACAAAAACTTAATTTTTCTCAAAAAATAGAGCTCAAATAAACCTTATGTTTGAATAGAGGCACACTTAAATATAATTGAAGCATTCAGCCTAAATTAATCAAGTTTCGTACCATTGGTTCCTTAGAACTTATTATATTATATCGCACTAATCTAAAATTTATCAATCCTAAAATATAGATGTATAAGTGTTATGCTTTAGGTCCAATCAACTTTGGACTACATTTTTAATATATAGTTGATGTAATTTTATGGCAAATTTATTATTTAATTAATGTTCAATTAAATTAAATAATAAAGTCTGTAGATTCAAATTTTGATAATTTGTTAATCACAATGAGTTGTGATTGTGAGATACAAATTACATACAATTGAATATTAAATTATCCGTGGTCGTAAGTAGTCACGAGATACGAATATCGTTATTATAGATAGACCATCACGTGTGACATTTCTTATTTGTGAAGTAAGTAGTTAATATCACATGCTAAAGTGTGGAGACACTTAAATGAACACGTGGATGTTTTGTTATAGAACAAAAGATTGGAGACTCACTGGAAGATTTCACGTGGATAACTATCTGAGAGTCAGTGGTTAATCTCTAATGTTCGGTAATGAAATTGATCATTTGACTTGAGGTCATCATAGTGCCTTATATGAGGACAGTCATTCTTTGACGGTGTTGGATGTTGCTATGCTAAGACTACTTATACAGCATCGCTCAGGTATGTCAAGAGTCATATGAAGGTTGTGAATGATCAATAGATGATTTGTCACTCTTAGATAATAAGAAATTATGATCTACATTTCATTCAATTAAGTCGATAATGAAATCTTTTGCCAAGGTATACTCAGAAGTTGAAAATGAGTTTTCGTCTTAGATTGACTTAATAGTGGAATGAAAGATATGATTGAAAATCGAGATTGACACACTTCCATATCTCGTAATTGATCGGATCATATTGACAAAGGAATTATATTTTCACGATAAACGAACAAGTTTGATTTTGACATACTACCACGTAACGTTTTCCATCATATGTATTGCCCTGACACATTGCTATATGTCAATTTGGGAAGGTGAATATGAATTAGTGATAAATTAAAATGGTGTTTTAATTTATCAATTTTGATTATATCAAAATAATAATCTACATCGTTAGACATTGTGATTGAAAACCTGATGGGTCGCAATAAAAGGATAATTAAAAGATTGTGCTTTGTCAATTGATTAATTTAACAAGAGTTTGATAAATTAATTAATTGTGTTGCTTATTTATAGGTTCGAATTAATTAATTGATTTAATTAATTCATGGATTGAATTTAATTAAATATTGAACTTGGATAGGAGATATGCCAAGTCCGTTTGAGTTTATATAAATAAGTAGTTAGGGTTTATAGTTTTGTAGAGAGTTTTATTCTTACTAGCATAAGAGGAGAAAATCATGATTTCTACAATCTTGTTCTCTGTGTGAATTTCATTGGAAGTTCAACAATTGGACAACTGTGGATGACAGATCAAAATTGCTTAAACAAAGAAGTAGAGGAGTTTGCAGGTCTCATAAAATATATAATATCTATCAAAATTTCTATCTAAATAAAAAGGAGAATCTTGGTAGGAATTGAAATTTGTTTTACTTTCGTTGTACATGTTAATTAAATTCCCAACAAGATATAACTTTGCATCTATGTATTTTCTTTTTGATCAAGCAATTTTTCAAAATTTAACCAAAACAAAAAATCAAATGAGAGAGGAGTAACTAAGCAGAACGCACGTATCACATACTAGTCTCAAATTCATTCATTTTCTAATAAGTCACGTCATATCACATCACGTTAACACCTCGATCTATAATTGACCATAGGCACAACCCTTTTCGAACTGCTAAAGAGTTTTTCTCCTGTATGAGGTAGATCGCCTCCCTAATAGGAGCCCCACAAATGGGGGTGGGACCCGCAAAAAAAAGGACCCTTTCCCCCTATTTGCGAGGTTCGGTCAGGAGGACGATCAGCCTAGCAAGACTCACAGCTAAATCCAACCTTTTTTCCCCCCTTTAATTAAAAAAACAAAAAACAAAAAAATCAAAAATCAAAATAAGGCATGGGAGGCCGTCCGATGAGTTTTATACATCTACTCAAGGTGCATTTTACTACGCATATCACAATTGATGTCATGTACCAAAATTCCTTTCAATGCCACTTCTCATTTCATAGTTGTCAACTTTTAAGCTTTCAAAAAGAAAACGTACCACAATTCTACCATTCAGTCATTTCTACTTGATCGATCTTTCTTTTTCATGACCATAGATCTTTTTTGTTAAGGAATATTTTTCGTCGCAACACCCCAAAAAAAAAAAAAAATAAATAAATAAAAAAAAATTCCTTGCAATCTCTCTTACTCGCAAGACCCTTTCGTGCAAATACATGCCACTCCCTGAACTAGAAAAGATGGACCCAAAGAGAAATGATAGAGTTCGACCCTTACTAAAATGAATGAAACATAAGAAAAAGATCTAACACACAGGAATATTGATGAACGCACAATGAAAAACATAGGCAAAAATCTGAGTCGCCCAACGTCAACCAGGACAACAATCCAAGAACTATCTGCACTGCTCGTATGAAAAACACGGCAAGCAACAGAACACGAAAAAGTTGGATTTGTGTAAAGAACTAAAGAAGTGTCAACAAATTCGAATCACAATAGAATGTACACGTTCAGCTAACAAAAATTTACATGGGCTCCAAGTTGAACGGATTCAGCCAAGCTGAGCCAAACAATTCTGTGTATGGAGCATATAAAAGCATGAAGTTAGAAGAAAAGAAAGGAATTATGAAATGAAGCGCCACGACCCAAAATTATGAACAGAACTGCTTCAAAGATGGTGGCCCCTCAAGTATGCCAATTGACGGCAAAATAGAAACTGATGCTTTGGTATTGTTCACCACATTACCACCACACATGGAATTGAGTCGCAGGAGTTGCAGTTCAATTCGTCCTGCACATCCATGGCTGAATAATATTCCAAATTTAGTGATACGTGCACACATTTCTCTCAACAAGGTTTCCCCCTCTATTTTCTTTGTACCAGACTCAAAAGAAAATCTGTAAATATGTGCTCATATTCTGGCATTTTACCATATCCTGCAAATTATACACAAGCAGATAAGAAGTTGAATTTGGAATTCAAATATCAATGCAAACCATCACTGTCTCTGTCATAATGATAACCAAGTGATATTAGAAATACATATAGTGGAGAGTGGCATACCAGGAAAATAGTTGATATCTATGACATAATAACGGTCTCGAGTTCCATGCTCTCGAATTATATCTAGGTTGAACAGCCGAAGACCCTATCAAGTAGAATACATCAGGAAATGGAAATAATGATCAATTGTGCAACAAAGAGAACCAATTACATGCAAAAATAACCAGTTTTCTTCATTAACGCAGTTGAAGAATCATAAAGGGAAAATAAGAATACCAGTCGTCGACGTAGTTCCTTTGCCAGTTTTTCAAGTAATGGTCGTGGTGGGAGCTCTGCAGGGAAGAAGGTAAGAACTAAAACATAAGTTCTTCTCTGGAATACATTACCATGGTTAGAAATAGATTGGTAAACATGGTGCAAGCACAGATCACCAGCTTGGCCGATAACAGAAGATCAAAACAGATATAGATGTATTAAAGAGGTCCATGTGAGAAATATAAACATATTCCAGCACACCACATTACAAGCCAATCAATTAATTCATATAATATATATTGCATAGAATAATCTGTGTGCTCCAATAGTATAAGCTCACCGCCAACACATGGATCTAAGTCTGCTTCATCGGCTGAAGCAGCGGCGCAAGATACTCTTGGAAAGTGGTATACACCAGCATTCTTAGTGAGCTCGCACTTAATGACATCAGGTAAGGAGAAACGCCTTACCACCTTAATTGCTTCCCCGACAATATAAACCTTGAATAGAACACCTCCTACAGACACAAGAAGGAAGTATAAAGAAATTGATGATACATTCACCATGCAGACAATGGAAGAGATACATAACACCACGTCAATGACAACCACGTACCATGATTTATAAATTCCTGCAAGACAAGTGGAGGTTCCAAATTCTGAAGAGAGAATTCATCATATGCTAGAGATAACTCATGTGACTTTGCAAACAAGGGCTTTGCCACTGTAACAAGGGAATGACAAAATTAAGAAATATTTAGAGTGAGAAGCAAATAACAATTAAATTTCCTACTGTGTGACAATCCATACAAGTTGTAGATCATCACAATTGTCCAAATAACAAAGAAGTCCCATACATCAAAATAAGTGCACAATTAAGTGCTCATTACACACACAACACGGTGCGTTCTTTGAAATTGGGGATTAAACTGACAGATGCAAACATAGATGACAGCATACCAATGGGTAACCTCAGCCCAGCCTTGTTGACTGCCTCAGGAATTGTTGATGGATCTTTCTTGAATATCAGTTGTTTTGGGACACCTACTTTTCCTACACGAGATGAACACAAAGCTATAAAATTTTTCAGTATTATTGTAGAAGCACAACTTCAAGTAAACATGTAAATTATTTCTAGTCTGGCAGCAAGAATGTAAATAAGCACCAAGCATACTTCAAACACCTGCGCACCCATCCACCCAAGAAAAAAAGAGGTTTGAGAGAATGAAAGCATCAGGAAACAAAAAACTCTGTCATTCATCCTAATGTAGATCAAGAATTACCATAGGCATTTGACAGGTTCAGGTCAGCAACATCCTGAAGCATAGACTGGCGATTATGCAGGTGCTGTATGGCGTCTGGAGGATCAAGAACTGTGACTTCAGGATGGTTTTTCCTATAATCCTTCAAAGAGGAGGTAAATATATGGTAAGTCATCTAGGAAGATCATATTCAAGTTTGTATAGCGACAAAATGAACAAGCACGACACGTCAAGTCAGAAGCTCCAGATTCTCAACCAGGGAAATAAAATTATGAAACATAGATTAGGAATCCTAGTCATACGCCATCTATAACACAACATTTATTGTGAAAAGCCATGCTTAATGGACGACAAACTGCATCATCCACCACAAGACCAACCACCATTGCAATATTCACAGCTTCCCAAGTCAAAGAAAGAAAAATATGAAGAAAAGAAAAAAAAATGAATTAAGCAAGTTCACATAAGAACATAACAAAATAACAGGAGATCAGTAGCTGTGGATAAATCAAAGGACAGCAGGTAATCCAAATCAACACAGGCAAACTACATTGTCTCCCAGGAAATGGTTTATTGCAGCAAACAAGAATCCTCAAGGACACAAATGTCTGCAAAGATCCATCATAGTTTTAAAAGCGCCCAAGACTTATGCCTTGTAGTGTACCTTCCAAGAGGTTTTCATTAGATGTCTCAAATCCTACACTTTGAGTGCCCTCATTTGTCAAGGTGTACCCCTCAACTTACTGCGGCCCCCACCTCAAGGCTAAACTTCAGGGTGTTAGAGATGTAAGCTTGTTGGTCTTGATTTTCAGGACGTTTTTATTACTGGCAGATTTTTGAGTTGATCTTTTAACCCCTAGAACGTTATAACCGTAATTTTTTTTTATTTTAATTTTGCTTTTTAATATCTGCAGCACCTGGAGAAACAGATGATGAGATCATCAGTTGTAAACGATTCAAATATCAAGAAGCATGTGGTTCGTACAATCCATTTGAATCTTAAATTTCTTAAAAATGAAATGCAACTACATCAAATATCGTATTCATTAATGCATATACGGAATGCTGATAAGATCAACAATAAATTCCTAGACTTGTTGATGAAAGTGATTACTCGGTACCAGAATGAGAATTAATAGTGTCTTGATTTCAACTGGCAATACATCCTAAGCCCGAGTACAAAATGAGTAAAATTGAACCCACGCCTAGGAGATGAAAAGGTGCTCTGGTGGGATACATTTGCATATAAATTCATGAAATTCACGTGCTAACTGGAAAGATTTACCAGTATAAAGTTATCTCCTTATAAACGGAGAAAGATAAAAATGGCAACCTAGTCCAATTAAATTTGTACACTTACTGTAATTGCTTGGGTGGTACAGCCTATTAAGAATGATTCATTTTTCAAGGGGGAAAAAAAGGAGGAAGAAGAAGAAGCCCTCGCCAATACGAAATCAAATTCAAGTAGACACTCCTAAAACTAAAAACAAAATATGAATAGATTTGAATTTTATCCATCCCTGGAAGATATACACTCAGCATAATAAATATACTATTAAAATAATAATTAATAAACAAACATATAGAGCTTGTTTGAACCACATTTTTATTGAAAAATGTACTTTGGAATAGTAAATTGATGAAGAATGTGTGCTTCGCAAATTAGGAAAAGTTTTAGGTATGCATATAATTTTTTTTTTTATTAAAGAGCGTGTGATTGAAAAATATATTTGCAAATAATGGGTATCAAACAAGTACATAATAAAAGTTTATAATCAAGTACTACCATGTATTTACTCTTTTATTATCATAGGGTAACTAAGAAGAATTATGTTCTACAAATATATCCCTCGTTGTCATTCAAGCCATGGGATGGGAATTTCAATTTTATTTCCACAGTCATTATATAGCAGACTTTGTATTCCATGCATGTGCAGGCATATTACATGCATGATTCAAAAAGGGGAAGGCAAAAAAAAGTCAATTCCAAAGATTGACAAGTAGAAAAACTCCTGACCTTGCAAGAAAATAATAAATTCTCATAGTTTAGTCGATAACTATCCATAACTATCTATCACTCTAACTGAAAATATAGCACACGCGAGGTTCAATAATTAATAGCATAAAAGGACAAATGAATAAACATCCAAATAATACAAAATAGAAAGCTTTCAAGGAAAATACCGAAGCAAAAAAAATAAAAAATGAATTAAGTTAGCCCTCTCCTCTTAAACTGTTATAAGGGTTGATGGTGAGCCCTGGAATAAAGAACCTTAATCTTTCGTTTGATATGCTAAAAAACCTGCAAACCAGGTAACCAGCCCTTAAAAGAGAGCATCCCCTTCGCTGAGACTTGAGGCTTTGACCTCAGTTATCAAGCCATGATTCATGACCCAGGGGAGAACAAGATTTTCTGCAAGTTATGTTTGACAGGACGAAGTTTTGCAAAAAGACTGCTGGCTGCCCATCAATCATTGACATTCCATGTCCATTTCACATCATCAAATCATATCGTGCGATAGCCTAAGCAGTCAAATTTGTGCTTTCCTAATCATATATTTGAAGTTATATATACTATGATAACATGTTAGTGTGTATAGATGGACCAACCTCAAGTATATGTCGCCATTCCTTTCCTGATAACTGCAATAACAGGTGAAATCTGTTAAACGTTTATCCATTTCATTTATTGAACATGGCTGAAGTAGTCAGAAAAGTATAATCACATAGCATCGTCCTAAAAGTTGATAAACAAGTGAATTAAGCCGGGTAAGCTAGCAAAGCACACACCTTATGCAACACGATATCGAAGGGTCCTTGATCTGAAAGGCATTTATTTGGGTCAATAGAAACGAACTGAATTCCCTTACTCCTGCATTTTGCGAACACACAAAACATGAACTTTGACAAACTTCAGTTGTGTAGGAAAATACACCAGTACATACAAATAGGAACAAAAAAAAATTCATCCTCCACACGTAAAAAGCCAAAACCAAATTCACAAGACATTTGCAATCTCAAATAAATAAATAAATTCATGATTAAAGTAGTATAAACTTTAAAATTTTAAAATCAATTATCCCAAACCTTGAAAATGTCATTAAAAAATAAAATAAAAAATTGAATCAATTCTAACGGGTAAACACCATGACACTTATTTTCCTTAGCAATTATAAAATGAGGGAAAACATATTGAAAGATTTACCTAGCCAAACCTTCAAGCTTCGGTTGCAAAAAGCTTTTAGTTTTCTTAGATGTAAGAGCATATCCCACCACCACGACCTTCGTCGGCGGTGGAAACCCTCCTTCGACCACCGCCGTATATTTCCTCTGTACTACCACTTTCTCCTCCACCTCCACCTCCACCTGCTCCTCGTTTCTCACCTTTTCCTCCTCTTCCACTTTATTACACGTTACTTCACCACCCATTCGTATATAAGCACACGCTTATAAAATTCACCCGAAATACAATCTCCTCTTTCTGCCAAACCAAAATTTAATCAATTGTTGTTAATTTGATTTAAAATTACTCAAAATTACAAATTAGAGTTTGTTGCGGGCCACCAGTAAAACGAGAATTAGCTA